ATTCTGGCATCTATCTCCACATAAGGGTCCACATCAAAAGAGAAGATAGAAAAACCGCTGTTATAATTCCCAAGGAATCAATGTGGTGTGATGAGCAGAAGCCTGGACCTATAGTCAGCCCTGCCACTTTACTAGCACTGTGCCCTTTGTCAAATTACCTAACCTCTTTGAGCTGTACTTTCCTCATATATAAAGCGGGAATAATAATGACAGTACCTGTCTCAGTGGGTTGTATAAATAGTGCCCAGCACAGGGCTTGGCACGTAGTGGATGCTCAGTAATGCTGGTTTCTTCAGTGCTCGTCCATTCCTGTTTCCTCCTGGGAGTCCCAGCCAGGTGTGGAGCTGTCCGTAGTGCTGAAGACATCCTCCTTCCCTCCCTGCCTCCTTCCCTCAGTTCCTCTCTCCTTCATTCCCTCCTTCTCTTCTGTGCTTGGCTCCCCGGAGCCCTAGGGTCTGAAAAGATGGAATTTTCCAAACGGTTTCTTCAGGCCCCTATGGAGGACAGGAGGGAATGAGCCATATACGAGTCCCTCCCTCAGCAGGAGTCTCGGGAAGCTGGCAGGCAGCCGGAGTGGTGACTGTGGGACTGTGTGGGCTGTGGTGGGAACGGGGGCTCCCCAGGACAGAGCCCGCTTGGAGAGTCTGACATCCGAGGATGCTCTTGCAGGAACCTCAGGATCTTCCGAGAGGCGGTCAATCAGCTCCAACAGCACAGCGTGGCAGGTGGGTCTTTGGGGAGCTTGCCCTGAAGGAGGCAAGAAGGACCAGGTTGGGGCACAGGAGAGTGACAGGGCTTGAAGGGCCCCTGGCTCTGACAGGAATCCCCCATCCTCCTTCCCTGGAATATTTTGGTCATTTGTTTGTTAATGTACCTAAAGGCATCTTCATCTTTTTGCGTTATGGTAGTATGCAGTTGACCAGCTTCATGAACTTGGCTCCATGGCCAATATCTGTGGCTAATCCTCAGTGTCTCTCCCCTTGAGTCTAAAACTACAAACGGTCCCTCCCTAGGAGGGTGACACCTGAACCCCTTGTGCCAGAGGTGGGAGCACTTGCAGCTCACACACTCCTGGGCGAAGGGTTAGGAGATGGGATGTGGCCAGCTGCGGAGACAAAAATCACCTGTTTCCTAATTTTTGTTGACAGCTAGAATATTGGAGATGAAGGATCTTTGGAGACCCTAAACATATAAACTAAGCCCTCCCTGTACAGGTGGCACCGAAAAGAGTGTGAACACTGTCCCACGAGTCAGAGGTGGAGGCGGGGCTAAAGGTGGCTCCTCCTCTAGCCTGGCCAGAGGCTGCCCTCGCTAAGGGCCTGAGCCTTCTGTGACCCCTTGCAGGCCATCGGCCACAGAATTCCTGGGACACGGAACACGGCAACAGGACTGAGGGACCAGGGGAGCCTCCTGCTGCTTTGTGGGATGGAGGGAAGTCCACACCCCTTTCTGTACCCGTTTCCCCATCTGTACACAGAGGAGTTGGTTCAGATGCTTAGATCTCCAGGATCCTTCAGCTCTGATGTTCTAGGTGTTCTAAAAAAGAGGTGATTTTTGTCTTTGGCTGGGAGGTGGGAAGCCAGGCTCAGGACCAACTCAGTCCTAACTTCTGGTGAGACCCTGGACAAGTCACTGCCCTGCCCAGTCAGTTTCTTCCTCTGGAAAAGAGGATAAGAGGTCTCTCCTCAGGGTCTCTAGGAGCACCAGGCAAAGGAGTGGATCACAGGTGCTTTGGGAAGTACAGATTGAGGGGAGAGGTGTCTGTCATTAATATCAGCCGTATATGTCTATGTTCCCAACAAGAAATGATTAGCTCTTTGTGAGCCCAGAACAAACCCAGCTGCTCTAAGGGGTTCATCCCTTGGGGTGGGATGTTAGGAGACCACTTAGAGCATCACAGTGGAAGAGGAGGGAGTGTACAGAGGGTCCCTCAGAGACTGGTAGAAAAGCAGCACTCCCCAAGACCCTGGCCTGTGAGCTGGGAGAAACATAGCATCACAGGCCGGGAGGGCTCAGGTCTGGCCACAGCCCTGCAAACCGGCTTCTTCTACAGACGGGGAGGCTGAGGCCTTTTTTTTTTTGCGGTACGCGGGCCCCTCACTGCTGTGGCCTCTCCCGCTGCGGAGCACAGGCTCCGGACGCGCAGGCCCAGCGGCCATGGCTCACGGGCCCAGCCGCTCCGCGGCATGTGGGATCTTCCCGGACCAGGGCACGAACCCGTGTCCCCTGCATCGGCAGGCGGACTCTCAACCACTGCGCCACCAGGGAAGCCCGAGGCTGAGGCCTTGAATGGGGCAGGGGCAGGACTGGGGCTGAAGCTCAGACCTTCACCTCCTGGTCCAGCTTTCTTTACACCCCAGTACACCTGCCTCTCCTCAAAGATCCAAAGATGGTGCTGATGGTGATGGTGATGATGATAGCTATTCTGTTTAATAAGTGCCTAGTTAATTACCTACTCACCACAATGACTATCCTCATTGTAAATACGCTACACATTTTAGTCTTCACCACAGCTCTGCCAGGTATAGCTATTGTCATCTCCATTTTACAGATGAGGAAACTGAGGTTCAGAGAAGTTAAATGTCTTGCCCAAGGTCAGGGGCTAGTAAATGATAAAATCAGGATTTATTCCTCTGTGTGATGCCAAGGCCCTTCTTATTCCTCTGCACTGAACATAATTTCTAGGAGCTACTCTGCACAGACCATTGCAGTTGCCATTGGGAGGGCATCCTCTTACCCTCCTGATCTACACTCCAAGTGTAGTTGGTTCAGACCCTAGGAAACCCTCCGTGAGCCCTCCTCCCGGGGCCCTCAGATCCTCACCACTGGTCCTGCTACTGCCCACACTTGTGATCCTCTTTTCTCTTGTCTGGGACTTGCCTCCCTACCAGCTTGGCAATTTCTTAAGGGTGAGATTGGATCTTCAGCCTTCCTGGGGCGCCTCACTTCTCTGAATCCAGTTTGCCAGCAGAGGAAATGGAGATAATGAGACCCACTTCACAGGGTCGAGTGTTTTGTACACGCTTCATTCAACCACGGTCACGGAGCTCTGCTCTGTGCCTGACGCTGGCTGAGGTCTGGGGACACAGAGAGGAACTGGCCAGGCTCCAGCAGGGAGGAGCTTGAGGCTGGCGGGAGACAGATGTGGATACGGGGAACCCAGGAGCCCAGAGGCTGGGGGAGCTGATGTGCATGGGTGTGGGTGTGGGCAGGGCTTTGCCGAGGAGGCGACATCAGGGAAGAGCCTGAAAATGAGAAGTGTCGGCAGATGGAAATGAGGGGAAGGCATTGCAGGCACAGGGGTCAGCTAGAGCAGAGGAGTGGAGGCAGCATACATTCTTCGTCTCCTTTCTCCACATCTCTCTAGCACACTGTGAAGATGAGAAAGAGAGAGCAATGGAAGTGTGGGAGAGCAGGAAGGTTTTCTGAAGTCACTTCTGTGGATCTGAAGAGTGTGGGTGGCCGGGATGCGGCTGCCGGCTCAGTTTTGGCTTATAGGACTCAGCTGCCTGAGGCTCTCCTGGGATGTCTGCTTCTTGGTGATAAGAAGACCATAGTGTCTGGAGATGGTGACAGGGATGTGGATGACGATGGAGGGTCATTCAATCAGTCATTCATCTGACAAATGTGGGTTGAGTCCCTCTCATGTGGCACTGTTCGAGGCATCAGGGACGTGGTGATGGGTAAGGCAGACTTGGCCTTCAAGAAGCTTCCATTCCGTTAGGGCAAGACAGACAATAACCGAGCAACCCAATAACCAAATTCAAATAGTGATTGTGTCGCCAAGAAAATAAAACAGGATAAAGTGACAGAGACTGGCTGGGATAGAGTAGTGGGCAACAAGAGACAGGACAGGCAGAGAATGGAGGAGGTGGCACTTGAACTGGCACTTGAACTGAGCGCTGAATGGTAAGGAGGCGGCCAGGCGAAGATCTGGATGAAGAGCAGCCAAGCAGGGGAAAGAGGAAGTGCAAAGGCCCAGAGGCAGGGGAGGGTCCATGGGCAGAGGGAAAG